TATCCTGGACTTGGCTCTCACCAACAAGAATAAATTATTCAACTAGTTGGAATAGTGGGATGTTTGGGTGGAATCTGTTCTAATGGTGAAAGGAAAAGTCAAAAGTTGATTTCAATAAGCTCAACGCAACACGAAGGTGACAGCATGAGTTTCTTAAACATGGGGTATTGAAGACACACCTCAACAGTACCTTTGAGAAAGAGGTGGGGGCATCTAAACAGCTAGTGGCTGATAATATGCTTTGATATTATCTGAGATTTAAAGAGAGGGACAAATCACCAAGGAAGAGTACAAATTAATAGTCAATATCTGTAGCATTTCACAGACTGGGACGGAGCGCGCCCAATCTCAGAACTTCAAAGGATCACTCCCTCCCTACTCACAAGCCATCTTTGGTCAAAAATCCATTGGGAGAAGACCAGGAAGGCTAAAGATCAGAATGAGCTGAGACTCCTTGCACAGGAGTTCAAACAAACAAAAGCATGGAGATCAGCTCTGCTCCAAACAAGGAAGTGGCAGTCCCACTATGTGGAAAGGACGAAGAGGTGCAAATGGGTGGGAAAGAGAGGGTTTAACTGCTCAGTACTTTGCTGCAATAATTGCATGGGTTTCTCAAAAAAATGTCATGGCATATTAATCTTGTCTTGCTCTCTAATTTTTTTTTAAATAGTTACATGCTTGGTACTTCACTGGATTGCCATGGATGCAGAATATCTTGATTTCAGAAAGGCTTTTAACAAAGTTCCTCATCATATTCTTGTGGCCAAAGTGGCAAAATGTAGACTATCTGATACTACTGTTAGGTGGATTTGTAGCTGGTTGATGGAGTACAGCTAAAGAGTCTTTATCAGTTGTTATCATCATCCTGGAAAAAAAGCGAAAAGTGGAATGCCACCAGGTTTTGTATGGGCACTGGGATCAACTCTTTGTAAATGAAATGATTTGGATGAAAGTGTAGCGGTGGTGCTTATCAAATTTGCAGTTAACAGAAAACTGAGAAGGGCAAATACTGAAGTTGATAAAATCAGGATTCATTATGACCTTAACTGATTGGAGAATTGTAGCAAAACAAACAAAACATGTTTTCAACAAAGAAAGATATGAAGTTGTATATTTTAAAAAATTGGATGCACAGAATTGACAGCAGCTGACTTGGCAATAGTATGTGTTAAAAAGGGATCTAGGAGTTTTAGTAGACCGCAAACAAAACTTGAGTTAGTGCCAACAATAACAAAAGCTAATGGAAGATGCATCCTCAGAAGTACAGAATCCAGCTTGTGGAGAATAATAGTAACATTCTGTTCTGCTTTGGTTATGTACCATCTGAAATACTGTATTCAGTTTTGGGTTTAAGAAAGATCTGTTGAGACTGTGTCTAGAGAAGAGGTCTGCAAACAGCTCTAGAAACAATGACTGAGTATGATTAGCCTGGGGAAGAGAAGATGAGAGGTGATATGGCAGCTGTTGTAAAATATTTGAAGGGCTTTCTTATGGAAGATGGACAAACTTGTTTTCTGGAGCTCCGGAAGGGAAAATGCAAACTAAAAGATTCAAATGACAGAAAAGGTGATTTCCATTAAATATCAGGAAGAGTGGAGCTGTTTGGCAATGCAGTGAACTACCTCAAAAGGTAGTGGACTTTTCAGAGTTTAAACAAAGGATATCATTCTTATTTTGGTTGAAATTGGACTCAGTGATCCTTGCAGTTCCTTCCAGCTGTGTGTTTTTTTTTAATTATTCTGTTATTCTCTCCTAATCCACTTCTCTGTTACTTAACAAATCACCTTACCACTTTTTGAGTCTTTCAAGCAGAAGACTGCACTCTGCTGCATCCTACAACTTTCAGGCTTTACAAAGCCATGGTGAATATAGAATACTAAGGCCCCATCCTGATGACCTTGAATAAATGGCAAGATACACCATTTATGTTACCACTTTCCTATACAGTAAAAGAAACTGTTCCATGTTTTTGCTTTTGTTATTACTGATGTCATCTTGAGTTTTTTCTTTCTTTCCCTCCCTCCCTCCCTCTCTCTCTACATATATACACACAATACTACATACATACATACATACATACATACATACATACATACATACATACATACATACATACATACATACATACATACATACATACATACATACATATGTACAGTATATATGCATATATACACACATAAAATTTTATATGCACACACAGAGAGAGTATATATATAATATTCATTCATTCATTCATTCATTCATTCATTCATTCATTCATTCATTCATTATTTTATTTATTTATTTATTTTATTTATTTATATCCCGCCTATCTAATCAGTTAAGATTACTCTAGGTGGCTTTAACTCATTCATTCATTCATTCATTCATTCCTTTGATTTATACCCCACTCCCCTAGACAGCGTCTAGGCAATGCTTGCTATAGTAATGGAGCAAAATGGGTAATTATTAAATGCTGCAAATTAGCAGAATCATTGGGTGAATGTGGGAAGCTAATATCTCATACAATAAAGGAAACCTGATTTTGGAAAAAAAAGATAAATGCCAAGATTAAGTTCCAGGGGAATGCAATGCTTGTAGACAGCCCCCTAACAACATAAACTTACCACAAGCATTGTACTGTGTTGATTCTTGTTTTGCTTTAATTGTATCTGCACTTCATTATCCATGCTCAACTGCATCAGACAAAGAAGTATTCTTTGGAGCTGCCTAGTGAAGGCCAATCCTTGCATGCCTGCAGACTAACTGCCTTCAGGGATGGCTTTATGTTATTGTGGTAAAATAAGTAGTCTCCAGCCTGATGCCAGGAAATAAGTCTTAAGGTAAGTTCTGCTAAAAGAGATCACTTCTATTATGGAGGAATTATATAGCAACCCCCTGCAAAGAGGCAGCATTCAGTCTGCTTGAACCACCTTTATCAAATGTACACTTTATTGAAACAATCTAGCCAATAATAAAACCATCTTATAAGGTTCTAATAACTTATAGCAGGGCTTAAGGAGGATCAGCTCCAGGAAGTGATTACATATCACAACAAATGCTTCATTTTGCATGCCAGATTCTCTCTCTCTCTCTCTCTCTCTCTCTCTCACACACACACACACACACACACACACACACACACACACACACACAAAATATATTATAGTTGTTAGTTTATTATTTGAAGCAATTAAAAGGAAACCATCGAGTTAACCTTTACATTAGCTAGGACTAAAAGCAGGCCCAGGTAGTTACCAGAAACTTTCAATTACTATATATCTACAAAGCTACAATATCGTATCTAGGAAAAAGAAACCCCACAACCATATGGCAGTTTAATTTCCTTAGTACTTGACAAAAACTTTAAAATCTTATGCTTTTTAACATTCTAGCATTAAATACACACACAATGATTTGAAAATATGTGTTTTTCAAATTTTACCATGAAATAAACACAAAAATCCATCTGTGCTTAAAAGACATTATACCTGCACCCATCCTTTCTTCAAACAGCTAGGGATGCACTTTACATAGTTACTCCATTCTAATCTTACAATAAGTCAGTGGCAGGATAGGCTAAGGTTTGTGACGAGGTTTCATGGGCAGGGATCTGAATCTAGCCATCTCTGCTCCTTTTCCAACATTGCATACTGTATGACTGCCATGTATTAAATGTGGGTTAGATATGAAGTCCACCACAGCAGGTACCTTTAAAATGTTACCTTTAAAATAAGAACCCTTGTTATAAGTTCACTTTTAAAATAAGAGTCCTTTGTTCAAATATTTTTTTTCATGTAAGGATTAAATTGATATGATGGGAAAGGACACTGCAAACTGCACCTACCTCCCCATTGTAGCTCTCCTCACCTGAAAAGTGAAGAGTCAGAAGAAGAAAGGAGGGTCTCCAAATCATCTAGAACCCTGAACTGCAACTACTATAATCCCACAGCCAGCTATTTATTTAATCCTAGAAGAAATCTCCTGAATAAGTCTAGAAATCTATTTTTTAATGAAAATTACAAGTGAGACTAGTGTGCCAATTATTAATTGTTACATCTCACCAATAAGAATCCTGCTTCCAGTAAACATGCATGGGTCATCTCACCAGAAGATTTTAACTCAAATAGATCTCTCTTATTGCAGGACAGAATCCTATCAGTCATGCCTGCTGTATAATGCACTTGGTGTAAATCTTGGCAGTGAATTACGACAAATGAAGAAGTCAGCATAAGTAGTTGTCATTATGTGCTGAATTACACAACTTGCCACACAATGGTACATGCTGATTTTAGCCTCTTGTGGCAGTTTACCACTGATATTTATGCTAAGTGCATTATGAGGAAATAAAATTCAGTAAGATTTTGATCTACATATGTACTCAAAACAGCCAAATAACTATATAAACATATAGTACGTGTACTAGCATACAAAGTGTTTTTTTTTGATACACCTATTATATATTTATTTACTTGTTTAATTTATGCACAGCCAGTCACACCTAAAAGAACACAGTGGAATAAAAATAGCATACAAGAAAAGAAATAAACTGTAGTGGATTTAGCAAGATAAATGTCAACCATTGATGGTTAATACTTTCTAATTCAATGTTTAAGGACTTAAATAAAATCCCTTCACTTTGTTCCCTCCCATGGGTTTGTTTTTATTGCTATGAGGAATAGGTATGATGACCACATATTTCCTATGAGCTACAAATTTTGCCCGTTTGCTGCAGAAGAACTTTCATTAAGATTGGAACAGTGCCAGAAATACCATTTTGCAAATTGTGATGGGTAATACAAAAATGGCAAAGACTTTTTGATAGGATACCCGCTTGTGCCAACCCGAAAGCTGCTTAGTCCCAGTACTGAGGCCTTGACTCTAATATACCTGCCATCTATAATCAACAGTCTTTGTTAAGTCAGGTCATGTATATGCCAGATGCCAAAAGAACTGGGGCAGCACCCTGTCAAAACAGAGCCACTTATAAGCAAATTTCCTAATCATGTGCCACTCACCTGTGATGTTAAACCAGAGTTGGCTGAGCCCAGTCTCAACACTGATCACTCCTACCATGTGATTTACTGGGTCTGTTTCCATGACTGCAAAGTTGAAATGAGGTTCATCAAAAGCTAGGGGCTCTGAGGACGGAAGGGGCTTAGGGATCCAATCGATGTGGAGCCTCACGCTGGAGTTAAGTGTAGGATCCCCATGGTCGGTAGCTCTGACCTGGTGAGAGAGAGAACAACACCATGACAGCTTAGATGTATGCAGGGCAGAATTAGGTGACAATTAGCAAGGACAAGCAGATTCAAGAACAGTTTTTACCCAAGTGCAGTATTGAGTTTAAATGCGGGGCCATAGGTTTTTGGTGGAATTTTAATTGCTGAGAGAAAACGGGGTATCTATATTTGGATGGTGAAAGTTGTGTATATTTTAACTTTTTTTTTGTAGTGTTGTCCAGTTTTACCTTGGGGAAGGGCACCTCATTTCGTTGCACCCACTTGTGAGCGCAATGGCAAATAAATTTCTTATGTCTTATGTCTTATATATGGTTAGCACATGTTTAGGTTCAGGGTTCCCTGGAAACAGAAATGATGCCCAGTTACCCTAACAGGATATCCTCCCCTCATGATTGCTGGTCCTTTAGTCTTAATTTGACTATTATATTCTATGATCTTCATCTTGTCTGTTGCTGCCATCTTGGTTTTTAGATTTGTTCTCCTTATATATTAAAAGGTAAAGGTAAAGGTTCCCCTTGACAATTTTTGTCCAGTCGTGTTCGACTCTAGGGGGCAGTGCTCTTCCCCGTTTCCAAGCCATAGAGCCAGCGTTTGTCCGAAGACAATCTTCTGTGGTCACATGGCCAGTGCGACTTAGACACGGAACACTGTTACCTTCCCACCGTGGTGGTCCCTATTTATCTACTTGCATTTGCATGCTTTCGAACCGCTAGGTTGGCGGGAGCTGGGACAAGCGATGGGTGCTCACTCCGTCGCGTGGATTCGATCTTACGACTGCTGGTCTTCTGACCCTGCAGCACAGGCTTCTGCGGTTTAGCCCGCAGTGCCACCACGTCCCTGTTCCTTATATATTACATTCCTTTATTTTACATTGTTGGGGTGAATGGGATTTGGCTGTTTTCATTATGTTTATTTTATTGATGGAAACCACCCAGAGTAGTGACAAGCCCACTGGATAGTGCGGTATAAACAAACAAACAGATAGACGGAGTTTGCCACACACCACATGTTGCAAATAAGATTGCTTTTGTTTTGTTATTGGCCACTGAGAAGTAAACAAAGGTTTCATTTGCAACAATGACTTTTCAGGCATGGAGCTTTGAAAGAATTGTGTGGCTAAAGGGAAAAACACTGCAATAACAGGAAACAGGCATTTGCATTAATGAGATCTACATCAAGCTCTTCCTTTGTAATCAGTGAGATGGCTCTAGCTCACAGGACTCTTTTGAATAAGCAGGACGTGAGATGGCTCTAGTGTGAACAAAGCCTCCAGCTCACAGGACTCTTTTGAATAAGCAGGATGGATAATATAGCCTGGCAAAGCATCTCCAGTCCATGGAAGTATCCACAGTGTGGATGCAGTATCGTTCAGACTTATCATGAAACCTCCTAGCCTCTCTCTTTCTTTTCCTTTCCTTACCTCAAGGAACATTGGGGCCATTCTTTATTTTACCTTCTAATCTTTTTCTAGCATGAGGTTAAGTTACAAAATGCATTTAAGAGAAGTAGAAAAATAATTATTTGGCAGTGCACAGCAATGTACAAATCCACTTGTTTCATAGCTTGTAGGTTTTGTAGTTTTGTGAAGCACTACAAAAAACTTGCAACCTCTTTTTGCTGCAGTCATTAGAGAAATGAATAGGTGCATCATCAGCAACAATACGCCTACCAGAGCATTTCCAACATGTGGGGAAACACTCAGCTCTCTTTAGCTTCCCTACTTTCCTCTCTTTCACTCACCGTCAATATATTGTATTCTTGGGCAGAGAAAGCCTTCTTGGAGAACACCATCCCTGTCACTGGATGGATGCTGAAGAAGCCTTCATTGTTTTCTTCAAGGCTGTATGTCACTTGGCCATTCCGTCCTTCATCACGATCTGTGGCAATCATCCTGTAGACTGGCAAAGGAGTCTCAGAGGCTAATTTTTCTGTGAGTTGAACCATGAAGAATTTTTGGGAAAAGCTGGGAGCATTATCATTGACATCCAGGATCTGAATTACTACTCTGCTAGTGGACTGAAGAGCAGGGTCCCCATGGTCTGAAACAGAGACCTACAAAGAAATTCAGCAGATTCTTTTCACATCTCAAGGGAAGAAAGTTTGTGTTTATGATACAACTTTTCCCCAGTGCTATGCTATACACTAAGGATGTTACTAATTAATGGCTGCATATTTTTCTCATGCTCTTAAAATAAAGATGCCTCAACACAATGAGATACATGTTGAAAAATGAAGAATGATTATTCATTCATTCATTCATTCCTGCCTAAAAGGGATACAAGGTGGCTTCCATCATTAAACACACAATATTAAAAGATGAAAACGGCAAATTATTCAAATATTAAATTATTCAATAAACAGTACATTATTCAATTATTCCTGTATGAGAGCAAAAAGACCAGCAGCAGGTTGGGAAAGAAAGCATATTGTACAACAACCCCATCCCCCCATTTTTTTGCACAAAGCAATTCCAGTGGGTGGGGTGGGGAGAACACTTACACATTTCAAATGCATAACAACTCTCATAATTGCACAAATGAAATAAACAAAAAGATTAACATGTAGACTCTGGAACTCTCCCCCCCACACACACAAAAAAAGAGGCTAGACTGGCCCTAACTTTACTGTCCTTCCTCATGCAGGTAAAGATCTTTCTCTTCAGGCATGAATGAATGGCTGCTTACTGCTGGTCTTCTGAACCTGCAGCACAGGCTTCTGCAGTTTAACCCGCAGTGCCACCACGTCCCTCCATCATTAAACGCACAATATTAAAAGATAAAAACGGTAAATTATTCAAATATTAAATTATTCAATAAATAGTACATTATTCAATTATTCCTGTATGAGAGCAAAAAGACTAGCAGCAGGTTGGGAAAGAAAGCATATTGTACAACCCACCCACCCCCGTTTTTTTTGCACAAAGCAATTCCAGTGGGTGGGGCGGGGAGAACACTTACACATTTCAAAATGCATAACAACTCTCATAATTGCACAAATGAAATAAACAAAAAGATTAACATCTAGACTCTGGAACTGCCCCCCCCCAAAAAAGAGAGGCTAGACTGGCCCTAACTTTACTGTCCTTCCTCATGCAGGTGAAGACCTTTCTCTTCAGGCATGAATGAATGGCTGCTGAGTAGGGTTTTTAGAATTGATTGTTATATCTTACTGCATTGAATGTGCTTTGGTATTGTATTCATTCATCTTATGTTTTTCTGGTATTGTATTCATTCATCTTTTTAGTATTAAATAATCATTGTTATTAATCTTAAATATTGTCTTTTAATTGTTGTAAGTCACCTTGGCTCCTTTCTAAAGAGAAAGGTAGCTTAAATATATCTTATATAAATAAATAATACTATGCACTGGTTGGTCTCCTTCCTGCTTTTTTTTTTGTTACCTGTTTGCATCTGAGATTATTTTCAGAACTTAGAAAAGGTACATTTTGGGCTGTAACTTCTGGAACTCCCCAGGGGTTGGACTGCAGAGAGGGACTGTCAGAATGAGGGTCTAGACTGTGAAGACAATCCAGGCTGGGGAAGTCTCTGTAATTTTCCCAAGCTGTAGATTGCAAAACAGCACAATCTGTTTCTATCTGTATGGTCTCAGTAATCAAGTGTCAAGCAGAAATCACCAATGAAGGTGCAGAATAGATGCTACCTACTACAAAGGAACCTCTTTTATAGGCAAAGTAGATTTCTGAGCCAGCTGAATATTTTATCTGAAAGATTCACTGTTCACCAAAGTCAAGATACAAAACAGAATGGAGTTTGCAAGGGATAGCCAGTTCCTCTAGTCGGCACAGCCTCTTTCCTACCTCTTCTTTGACATAAAAAAGAAAGGTTCACTCCTTCAGAGACACAGAATTTGATGAACCAATAACAAAGCAGCTCCAACTTTAATCCCACTGTTTTAGAACTGGTGCCTAATGCTGGGACACCTATGTCACATTCACATGCAATAGTTAGTTATGTGCTGTCAAATGGATATCAACTTACACAATGAACCTAATAAGGCTTTCAAAGTAAGTGAGATGTTTAAGGACTGGTTTTACCAGTTGCACCCTGTCCTCACTGAGTTTCCATGGCTGAGTGGGGATTCAAACCCTTGTCTCCAGAGTCCTAGTCTGTCACTTATTCACTATACCACACAGAGCACTCTCACATGTAACCGTAAGGTACAATTTCTGACATATTAATCTCCAGTGTGAATTAGCAGTACCCTGGTATATACAATATGTTAATTTATATTTTCCTATTTTCTTTATGTAAGCTGGTAATCAAATTGTGCAGGGATATCTCCGTGTGACACCTTAACCTGGGATTACAATTTATAGTGTCCAAACAAGTCAGAACTACAAGCCAGTTTCAAACTAGCTTTAGTTATCTTACAAATCCTAACTTCTTTTGGCACCATGTATCAGAGGCTCAGATGCCATAGCCTTGATCCCTCTAATGTAATTTGATTACAACAAACTCCATCTCAAATCATTGGGCATTCTGGCTGAAGAGGACAGAATTTAACAATACAACAAATGTGGAGGGCAACAGTTTGGTGAAATATTTCAGCACTGAAATCCATTAAGACAAGTGTTCATTTTCCTAAAGGACACAAAATTATTTGCTACTCTTTATTCTGCATGGTTTATCAGCAGGATTCAGTTAGGAAGCTGGCACTAAGGGGTAAACAATTGAAAATGCAGAACAAGCAATTATCTTCCTGGACAATTTTGAACCAATGGAATGAAGCCTCTTCCTTCTCCTCTGTGTGCTGTGACATGCAAGGAAATGTTCTTTGAGGACTTACCAAACAAACACACAGACATGGAAAAAAACCCAACCGCTTGCAAGTAAATACAATTAATTGTAGCTTCATCATTGCTCACCTCCAAGATATGTTCAGCCTTGTATTCACGATCCAGCTGCTGAGAAGTGGTATAGATCAGGCCTGCCAGAAAAGAGGTGGAAAAAAAACGATTGTGGGATCTGAACATAACAGTCTATGTGATGCCCTGCCACACCCACCTGCCATGCCAGTTTGGGCCATTTTCAAAGAAAAATAGTAACCTAAATCAAATCAATGCCTTTAAGCAAGAGAAGTTGATAGTTAAAAAACACTTCCTGCCCCCTAACCATGGACATTTTCCGTATCTTTTGCAGAGGTGATTTACAGTATTTTCCTCTCTCAGGTTTTCCAAGTTAATCTCATTGAACTGCATTGCAGTGTTCAAGCGTTTCAGATCCTACACTCCCTAAGATGCTATTTCAAATTTCAAAGCAGAGGAAGGACAAGAGAAGAGATGCTAATGTGGTTCAAATGTGGAAAGATATGAAGCTGTTCATTAGCCAATATATTGACCAGCAGTGGCTCACTAGAGTCTCAAACAAGGGCTCTCCTCCTTTCCAAACAGGGGAGGCCAAGGATTAACCCTGAGATCTCCTGCATGTAAAGCACTCAACTGAGCCCTTCCCCAACTGCCAGAAAGTTTAAATGTCTGCTGTTCATACACCCAAGTTGCCCATAGCTCATCAGGAGGCCAGTTTGTGGTCCAATGGCATGGGCACCATCTTCTTGGTGGCTAGAAGCAATCCAGAGAGTCTTTGGAATTCACACAAAGCAATGGTGGCCTTGTGATGTAGCCAATCAATTAAAGAAGGGACTGGCCAGGTCAGGGAAAAGGTTTCCCTGTGTTGACTAGAAGGGATGTATTTAAGCATATCTCTAATACACCCTAGCATCTGTTGTCACAAGACCATCACTCACCAGATAGGCGGGATATAAATAAATATCCAGAGAGTCTTTGGAATTCACACAAAGCAATGGTGGCCTTGTGATGTAGCCAATCAATTAAAGAAGGGACTGGCCAGGTCAGGGAAAAGGTTTCCCTGTGTTGACTAGAAGGGATGTATTTAAGCATATCTCTAATACACCCTAGCATCTGTTGTCACAAGACCATCACTCACCAGATAGGCGGGATATAAATAAATAAATAATTCTCTTGATTGCTTGAACTCTAGTTGGGGGGTTGCATGCTTAGGGTTTTGCTGAAGAGCTGCAATATGGCACCACATAATGATATCACAGCTTTATCTGGTTAGTTAGCTTGTGGGTGAAAGCATGGGACTGGATCCATTTCATGGGGAAAGGACCTGGGTATCCATATTCATAAGAGAGGTGTATCTCCTTAAGCAAACTGGAGTGAAGGTTACTAGACGGTGCAGAGAATTGCACTGGCCTTCACATCATACCACCAAGGGTCCACACAGTGGTTGTGTAGCCAGTGGTGCCAGACCTCTTTTTACCTTGTGATCAATCCAGCAACTGAGCCGAGTGAGGCAGTTACGTAAGATCTAGCGAACTGAGGTATCTAGTTACCAGCAGGATGGTCATCCAATATTTCCATCTTGCGCTTTGGCTGTGCCAAGACTATTCACGTGCAACCAACTGTAACCAATAGACCAGTGGCCTCATTTTCTCTGATCAGTTTGTGTGTGGTATCTCTACTCCAGGACTGTAGTCAAGGCACTAGCTATGCCACCTGAGCCACAAACTCAACAGTCAGCGGTGCTAAACCAGATCGTTTGTTACAGTCATTATTATCAACACAGGTCAGTCAACTCCCTTCTCAAAATAAACAAACAAGCACTTTTTGCACATGTATCTCGCACACAAGTGCTTGGAGAATTTTTTAAAATTGGGTTTACACCTTTACTGACCCAAGCTAGCTTGCATGAATTGTTTATGATCACCTCCGTTTCATCTGGGAAAGTTTGGCCAAGGTTGTATCCTGACACTAGGTCACAGTATATACTTCGAGACACACAACAGACGCCACTACACTTGGCCATTTTGATAAACTCTAATTCAAAATATTTGATTGGAATAGAAATCTCAAGGAGAAGAAAAAAAACAAGGACTTTTCTCTCTGTTCCTCAACAGCTGTTATTTTTTTTTGTTACATGCTGTAAGTCAGCAGGCTCATAAAGGGTGATCTGGTCATTTAGAGAGCTTGGACTCAAGGGCTTTATAGATTAAAACCACTTTGAATTTTGTCTGGAAATGGGTCATAGAGAAGCAACATAATATAGAAGTTGTTAAATATTTACAAATAGTTAAACACAACTGAGAGAGAGAAAGAGTGAAAGAGGGGGAGGGATTTTTACAGAGGAATGTCTTTTACTTCTCAGGTTTTAAAATGTGAGGACAGCTAGTATTAAAATTGCTAACACAGTTAGAAACAATGGATGACTAGCTGTTTTAGTTTCATCTCATAAAGATATGAAAGGAGTTGTAGATGAAGAGCTACCACCCAACTATTTTCAGACAGTAACTACTTTGCGTAATCTTGGACTTTTAATTATGTTAATGCATATTTTCTAAGCATTCCCTTCACATGGGAACTCTGAAAGTCAAAATTCCATCCTTTATTTGATACCTGAGCTGCCAAATACACCATCTGGGGTGGTTCTAGATAGCAATATGCCAACTTGCTGGGTAGCTAGTAGACAATGTAAGTGTTTCTAAATGCTTCTAATTATCAAGATTTTGTTGGGTGGCAAAAAGGCTTCAGAACATGAGATCTCAGATTATTCAGATTGCAATATGAATTTTGGCATTTATCCAGGTATACCTGATTTGTGGAGACTTATTTTGACTCCCAATTTAACTAATTAATTTGCCATGATTGCACATGTTCTGGTCTTACCAGAACAACAAGTAAAAGGGAAAAGAGTTGGTAAAACTTTCATGGGAAGCTGACATTAGTTGAACTTACTGAATGAGCTTTACTTTAATACAGTTTTAGAGGGACTCAGCTATAATAAAAAGGCTTGCCATTGCAAAAATTGGAACAGTCTAGGGGAACTGTTCTTCAGAAGACTGTATGTTAACTTTCGACCTATTATGTAAAGGTCATTCTGGCAGGGAACCTGTTTAGGCAATTCTGGAACTCAGGTCTCCCATGTTATAGTTTTAGAAAGCATTTTAGATATATAGTTACCTAAGACTTTAAATATCCCAGATGGCATGCCTGAATAATTGTCTGGTCCTAAAATTAAATATCTGGTTTCTTCTTGTTGGAAATGGTAAAGAGCATGCTTTTTCATTTTTTTTCCCAATTTAGATTTAGTTGCCAAACTTCCATTTTAGTCAGGCTGATTACTTTTATAAATTATCAGTTCCCTATGGGTTCATAAGTATTGCCGCTGCCACCTCTCTTTTTAAACAAGAACTTCCTCAGGCTCTAATTATAGGCTCTGTCATGGTATAGATTATTAAGGTTGAAATGTGAATGATGAATGGGATATGTAGTTGTGGACGTTGTAGAAAGAATCCATATTGGTTCTGTGTTGGCATGATTTTATGCCTTGAGAATGTTTTCTCCACGAGGTGAATGGAAAGTTCCATGTAGGCAGCCTTGTCCTGAGATGATAAGGAGCCAAGACACAACACCCTTGTTTGGATCAAGACCCGAGACGGGGAGATGGGAAAACAACACCTGTACCTCTCATGGGAATTGGAGGCGTGATGAGAAGAGACCTAAAAGATGTAATTTAGAGAGAGAATAGAGGAAGGGGGTCTATGTCTTGCCTGACTTCCAAGCAGCTTTTTAGAATTTTATTTCATTTTTGCTAGATGGAATTTGTTAATATCTTATATTAACAAATATATCTTATGGAAATGTAACTTATGCAATATCTTATGGAAATGTAACTTATGCTTTGCTTATGCAACAAACTGAATATCTCTAAATACTTTATTTTTCTAATAATTGTAATAGATTCTTAACCAAATTTTATATCTCTGTGTAGCGTGGCTTCCAAGACATGCACTCAAAAGTTATCGCATATAACTTGGAAAAATGCAACTTCCATTATATATAGGAAAGGCAGGAATAAAGCAAATAGGGCTATGTTTTAAATTATATTATCCAGAAGTATACCAAAGCTCCATATGAACAGATTTGTATGGTCTGTCCTTTAATCACTTTTCATTTGGTTTTGGACTATTTATTGGGATCAGTTGTGGCAAATGCTGTTTGCAACCAGGATCAATAGAAGATTGTTGTGACTTACTCAGTCTCCGCATCAGAATAATATAGTGCAGTTAAGATTTGTATGGAGCCCTGACAGGATCAATTGACATTAACAGAAGAGCTCAGTGAGGTTCCATTGTGTCTCTATTGATTATTTATTTTTATGCTTATGGTATGATTTACTAGGATGCCACCTCTTCATTACCTCCCCCCTTTCATTTTGTTAACTATGTTTGTGGCTTATTAAATACTAACTGATTTAAATTTCCATTAAAAGAATTGATCTTTTGAGGAGAATGTGACTACTCAGTAACTTACATGAAGAGAAGAGGGGGGACGGACCCATGAGTTCATTATTCTCAATCTAAGTCATAATGTTTAAGAGAAAGGCTTCCAAAGTTCACAAGCTGTAGATGAACATGTTTTGAAAGAGCTTGGAACTTTCAAAGAATTAGGCATTAACTTTTAATGCAAACTAGACGTGCAGATAACATCCAGAAAAAGTAACTTAATGCAGTTCTCCTCTATCACTCCACGCCACAAATAACTGCACAAGATGAACAAGCACTTCTGCAAGCGTTTGCACAATGGCATGCACACTTTCTTGCACAACAATACCAGTATTGGATACCATTCCTGTTCTAATTGTGAAGATGAACAGAATCCTTTTCTGTGTAGGCAGAGTGTTAGCACTTTTCTTTCTCTGGCATATGCTTTTCCTTTGCCTGGCCACAAGACTTTCTCAGAAACCAAGGTAACTGCACACTTAAATGCACCTGTGCCTTTCTTTGTACATTTCCATCTCCTTGGCTCTAACTATGTTTTGAAAGACACCTTCAGTAAGATTAAAAAAATAGACTAATCCTAACATGCATTCAAATCATGTTACTAGCAGTCAAAAATACCATCAGCA